ATCTGGGAAAAATGAAATCAGAAATAATTACTCAGATAACAGCAAAGATTTTGCTCATGGTGCAAGACATGATTAATAAATCTAGAGAGGACACAGCTAATAACTCCTTGAAGTAGAAAATCTGAATTTTCAAATAACTTTTTTGCAAAGTAGGGGAGACTGTGCTAGAGTTCAAATGAGTTATAATTAGAAATTTGATAAATTCTTGATTCTTATTCTGATTAGATCATTGTTGGTCCTCATAAAAATACTTATTCAAAAGTAAAATTTAAAAAAGTAATTAGAGGCAAAAGTATATAGAAAAATCTGTTTTGTATACTGCTTTGTTCAAAAAAGAAAAACTAAAGTTCTCATCAACAAAGTAAACAAAACCAAACAATTTATATTAAAGTAATAAAGAAAAATAAGACAGCACTTTTTAAAAAAGCATACTGAATAATTATTGTTCTTTTTTCTTTCTAGTCTTTACCCTTCATTTATTAGGGACGTCATCAGGCAACTTGCTTTATATAACACTTATAAAAACTGAAGTGATTGCTTTGAAAGACGGATCACAACTAGCTCTTTGTTTTATAAGCAGCACTCAAAATTACTTGGCTACATACAAAAGCAATAGAAAAAGGTGAAAAGAGAAAAAGATCAGTTGTTAAAAGCTCATAATTGGCAGTAAAGTACCATTTACTTTTCTTAATAATAATTTTAAAAAGACTTTAAAAAGCAATAGTATTTACATAACAACATATTGAGTTAAAAGGACCAAGTCAACTACTGTATTTGTCGGCATAATAAAAAACACTTCAAAATGATAAATATCCCAAACAAAATCAAATTTTAACATTATAATTATGTACTGTCTTTATTTTTTAAATCTTTTATTACTGAAGAATGATTACCATTTTGTTTAATAAGACTGTATCTTATAACTTTCACAGCAAGAATATGAACCAAGATATTAAGAGCAAGACTTAAGTAAAATGATGACTGTACATTTTCACCATGTTTTACCTGAACACCTGATAGTGTCTGAGGATATGTGATTTTACCTTAGAGAATCTAAGTGACACAAAATGTATTTAGTAGATTTGTCTTGAATCTATGGGTCTAAATTTCAAAAGAATAATATTGATTCACTTGGTGGGACTCCTAAATATGTTTTTGCCAGTAAGTTTTATGTGATGCTGAAATTCTTGAAACAATGAATAAATGTTTGAATAAATTGAATAAATGAAGTGTCTCACTATAAAAAGGAGACAGCAATCAAGAAGCTACAAGTAATGAAATGGTGACATGTTTATAAAATGACCTGAGATTGAGAATAGGGAAAAATCACCATGACATGAAGTAGCCAATAAGCATGCAGAGACAATGACAGCAAACATATTCAAATGAAGTCAAAACTAAAGGAGAGGTAGAGATGACAAAAAATCCTATCTTTAAAAAGCTTCCTTTATTTTTTTAAACTACACTTTTCCATTTACTAAACCCCCATTGTTACCGCTGATATGGCAGACGTGCTAGTTAATGTCTGTGGAGCTATCTTCTCATGTGAATAGTCATCCCTCACAATGGACACCACATCTAAGGATACTCAAAATTTTTCTATAAAATGGCATATCATTTAAATATAACCTGTGGAAATCCTTCCCAGTATTTTAGCTCCAGATTACTTATAATACTTAATAGAATATAAATGCTATGTGAATAGTTAATGATATAGTTAATAACAACACTCATAGTTATGCAATGAGATGTGCAAACTTAATGGCAGGGAGATTGGTGTCCTGAAGAAAAACCCCCAGCTTTTTCAAAGATATAAAGTGAGAGTGAAAACATCAAGTTAAAGACCATATTAAGTACATTAGTACAGCTAGACTACAGAAGATAAGAAACAAAGGGTAAGAGATGAGGTCTGAAGAATATCATGTATGGCTTGTGCTCTGATGTCCCCTCAAAGCCTCATGTGGTCATAGGTGAGGCTTTTCAGAGGTGGCTCGATCTAGTGTGTGTGACAACAGGATTAAGGGTGTATGATTACTAAATTAGTTCACTGATTGGTTTGGCATAGTTCTGGGTAGGGTTATCAGTGTCCCACCCTGGGTGTGAGTGCCACCCGCCCCTAGGGCAGGTAGCCTGGATAATTTATAAGGGACAGAAAGAGGGTTTCTGTTAGTTGCTGTTGCTCGCCTGCTGCTAGCTGCCTTCCACTCGCCTGCTCTGTGATGTCCCTCTGTCATGCCATCCTGCCTTGGAGCCAGCCAGCTATGAACTGAAACCTCTACAAACTGTGAGCTGAATAAACCTTTCCTCCTTTACCTTTGGGTTTGGGTATTCTGTCTCAGCAACAAGAGAAAAGTGACTAAGACAAGTCACAAGAGATCTTATACACTATTAACTGTCTATAGAGTGTGGTATGCTCCCTAGGCACAGGCTCACACTTCTTGTCACTGATGAGCCATCGACCCCAGACTAGTCAGGAGCAACTTAACCTCTACGCTTCAATCTCCTTATCTATAAAGTGGAGATAATGACATTAATTACCTCCTGGGGTTTTATGAAGATTAAAATGATGACACATATAAAATGCTTTGCAGAGTTCTTGCATATACGTTTTGCTCAATAAATGTTATCTATTATAACTTTAATTATGATTACTTATTTTCAAGACAATGCTAAGCCCATGAAGGTTTAAGAAGACATGTCTCACACTTCATCCATATCCTTAAAACATCACACAGATGGTGATGGCTGAAGAGCCAGCATTTAACAAGTACTCCTTGAGTTGAACTGGAAGTGTTACATAAGTGTAAAGCATTCCTAACCACCTCTTTGTGATTGGCATTTTAATTCTCATTCTCCTAGAACAAGAAGGGGATGGAAAAAAGGTAACTGGAATGAGATACAAGATATTTCACCCCAACAAATAGTAACTGAAAAACTCTCCAGTCTAGGGCTCTATACACAGGGCTGGCAATACCCTGAGGGCTAAAAGATGTGTTTTTGGTACTGGGGATCGAACTCAGGTCCTTGTGCTTACACAGCAGGTGGCAAAACCACTGAGCTAAATCCCTGGCCCTAATAGATGTGTTTTATTATGAGCTCACATTCTGCTTGGGGAGACAGCATATAATAAGACCAAAAGAAACACTGCAAGGTGGTATTAATGCACAAACTCAATCAGTTTCAAAACAGTAAAAATTTTGTTCGCCATATCCAAGATATCACTTTACTAAAACTGAAGCCCAGACAAACTGGACATGGTGGTGCATGCCTCTAATTCTCAGCACTCCATGAGGCTGAGGCAGGAGGATCTCAAGTTAGAGCCCAGCCTAGGCAACTTAGAGAGGCTCTGATTAAAAAAAACAGAAACAAAAGAGGGGAGATGTAGTTTAGTGCAAAATTCCCGGGTTCAATCCCCAGTATCACAAAGGGGAAAATAAATCAAAATGAAGCTTATACATATAAACCTGAAGTAGAATCACAGCTTTCAGAATATTTTTAAAGCAAATAAGATAATTATCTCAAAGATGTGTAGAAAAGAGAATTAGTATACAAAATTTTGATATTTGTAATTATCTTCTGCATACACACAAATCAAAGGGAATCAACAGATAAATCATTAAAAAAATAAGAAAGTTCAGTACAACAGACTGATATGAGACCAATACCTAGAAAGCACTAGCATTTACATACATTAACAACTACCAATTAGAAAAGCCCACAGACAAAATGATACCATTGCTAAACGTGATAAAAATTCTGTGGCACATGAGAATACATCTAATCGAAGATGGGCTGGATACTTAGGGGAAAAGTTGTAAAATATTGAAGAACAGCAAAGACCTGAATAAATAAAAAGTTTTATAGTCATAAATAAGAATTTTCTAGAACCTAGAACATAAAAATGTCATTTTTATGAATTTAATCTATAAAAGTAAGTGACAGTTTAATCAAAATCCCAGCAAAATATTATTCAGAGCCAGGTGTGGTGGGGCACACCTATAGTCCAGCACTCTGGGAGGCTGAGGCAGGAGGACTGCAAGTTGGAGCCCAATATGGGGAATTTGGCGAGACTCTGCCTCAAAGTTTCAAAAAAGGGGGTGAGGTTGGGATGCAGCTCAGCATGGGAGTTCTGGTTTCTGTCCCCAGTACTGAGGTGGGGGGACTTATTCGCAAATCTTTATGGAAGGGTAAAGAACCAAGAATAGAGAAAATAAGTTTGAAAATAACAAGGAAGGGGGACTTGTCCTATCAGATACATGTAAAAGCAAATGTCAAAAGAAAGCTCAGAATCAGATCGCTATTTATGATAAATGTAACGATACAATGGTAGGGAAGAATAGTATCAGAACTACTGACTGGAAAAAACAATAAAACTAGGTCCCTATGTTATCCATACAGAAGAATAAATTCAATTAATCAAAACCCTTAATGTATATTAGATGAAAATACATTTAAGACTTTAGAGTAAAGGAAAATTCTTTTTTTGGGGGGGGGTACCAGGGATTGAACTCGGGACCTAGTGCTTGTGAGCCAGGCGATGGAACCACTGAGCTAAATCCCTTGCCTAAAGGAAAATTCTTAATTAAAATCCCAAAAAGCTTGACACATGAAGATATAAGGTTTGTTTTATTGGTTTTTTGAGATAAGGTCTCATAATATAGTTTAGGCAGGGGTTGAGCTTACTATATATGTAGCTCAGGCTGGCCTTGAACTTGTAGTGATCCTCCTGCCTCAGCCTCCCTAGTGCTGGGATGACAGGCGTGCGCCACTACACTTGGCACACGTAAGGTTCTGTATGCCCTCAGCTATCACAGTTAAAAAGGCTGAGAGAAAATCTTCACATGTAATATAAGAAAGAGAGGCTAGTAATTTAAAAACTTTTCTACAAGAGAGAAAAAAAAGTGAAACAACCCAGAAAGAATTTGGTAACAAAAATATAACCAAGAAAGAAATTCACAGAGGAGGAAAACATAATGGGTAATATATATATATTATATATATATATATATATATATATGTATATATATATATATAAAAAAAGACAATCAACTTACCTAACTATCAGGGAAATATACTTAAAACTATAACCCCAAACCAAGTTTGGCAAATATTAAAGTGAGAAGAAAATAGTGTTAATAAGAATGTGAGTAGGGCCAGAGATTTACCTCAGTGGTGCCACTGCCTGCCTCGCAAGTGCAAGGTCCCGAGTTTGAGCTCGATCCCCGATACACACACACACACACACACACACACACAAAGATTGTGGGAAAAGAGAAACTCTCAATGCCTGTCACTTGAAGACCAATGTGGTAATCACTTGGTTAACATAAAAATGTACACAGTCCCTAAAGAAACCCTTAAGTGTGAAATAGGAGGCCTGTATGGAGATGTGTTCTGCAGTGCTGCCTATGAGAGCAAAAATCTGCAGCAGTTTATACCTTGGCAATGTCTGCTTATAGCGAAATGGACTGTTTGAAATGTGGCATATTCATGTAATGCAATACCAATCAAGAGCTACTAGGTTATGCACATGTACCAACTCCTCCTGATGATTATAATCATTATGTATTGCAAATATGTACTAATGAAAGTCTAAAAAAGAGCTGTTAGAACTGAGTGAATCTATTATTATTTAAATCTCAAGATCCATGTTGAAAAATTATACACTTTATGTAAATTTAATAAAGATTCTATACTGTTCATAAATATCTGTGTGTATAAAATTAGACTGGAGACACTAGTAAAAATAAATAGAAGCTGAGCCGGGGATTTAGCTCAGTGGTTCCGCCACCTGCCTTGCAATCAGAAGGACCTGAGTTCGATCCCTGGTACAAAACAAACAAACAAACAAACAAATAAATAAATAGAAGTAGATATTTTATTTTAAAAGATTATGAAAAACATTAACAAGATACTAATAACATAAGAATATTAGCTATATGTGGTCAGTATATATGGTTTCTTAGTCTATTCATCTATTGTACAGAATTTATTCATCTAATGGATGTTTTTAAAATTTCCTTATTTGTAAAAGATAACAGTTTTACTTGTTCTGAAGTTTTCCTTTAAGAAGACACGATTTTATATATACACAAGTGTTGGCTTAGATAACACACATATGTGATGTACTTTGATACAACTCTTCTCCCCAGCATTTGGACACTTGTAAGTGCCTATTTATTGTCTCTCTATGCCAGTTTTCCGGTTAAGAGAAAGCGTCACTTTCCTTTTTCTAGCCGCCAGCCCTGGAATTCTCCAGTAAAACTGCTTCTTTTCCTTCACATAAGAAAGAGCATGTGACCAGTGACAGCAGAGTCTCTGCAGGTTTCCTCTCAGTGATGATCAGTGATTGCCAGCTAGGGGTGATTGTGCTTTCTCTGTCCCTGAGATACACTTGACAATGTCTGCAGAGAGTTCTTGATATCATAACCAAGCTGTTATTGACATTTAGTGTGTAGAAGCAAGGGTACTGCTAAATATCTGTGCTGAGTAATTCTGATTTTACCTTGACTGGATTCCTAGAGAGCTAACTGGATTATGAAGCACTAACCTCCTCCATGGGCTAACACGCTGAAGAATAGCTGAATGGCTATAAGAAGGTAGAGCCCAACTGGAGGAAGTGGGTTAAGGGGAATGACCTTGGGGATTATACCTGGTTCCTAGCCCCTTCCTCTCTGGCTTTCGCCTACTCTGCTTCCTGGATGCCACAAATTAAACAGCTTTTCTATGCCATGTCTTTCTGCCATGATATTTCTGTAGAGAAGCCTCTTAACTATAGACTGAAACTTCCAAAACTATGAGCAAAAATTAACCTCTCCCTCTTTAAATTGCAGATATAAGGTATTTAGTCCTGAAGACAGAAACAATATCCTGTGATATACAAGACACCCCTCCACAACAAAGAATTATCTGGCTCAAAATGTCAATGGTGTGGAGGTTGAGGAAACTATTCTAGAGGTTAAAAGACAAATGGAATAAAATCTCCACTCCTTGCTTCTCAGGTGGGAAACTGCTCTTTAATCTGACTGGGATTTGACACTATTTTTTTATATATTAAAAAATTTCCTCAAAAATTAAATGTAAAAGGCAATAGTTTCACTTATTTGTACTAAAGTTAGGGTCTCCTTAGCAGTTAGTTAGTTTGTTTCTTTCTTTTTCTTTTTCTTTTTTTAAGACAGGGTCTCACTATGTAATTCAGTTCAGGCTGGCCTTCAACTCACTATATAGCCTGGGCTTGCTTCAAACTCATGGTGATCCTCCTGCCTCAGCCTCCCAAGGGCTGGGATTACAGGCTTGAGCCATCACGCCTGGCAGCAGTTAGTTTCTTTTAGCCTCTTTCAGGTGGTCATGTTCTTCACAATATATCAAATGCTAATTTCACAAATAATCATTTTTAAAATTCCTGATATAATAATGTATTCTTAGTTCTCAAGATAGCATTTAAAAATATTCAATAGATTTATTTGACAAATATTTACTGTGTCCTTACTAAATATAAGCCATACATTGTGCTTTGAACTAGTTATACAGTGATGAGCAAGAATGGATAAGTAGCAAGCTGGACTGAAGGAAAGCCATACACAAAGACCCTGGGAGAAGGAAAAACATGTGGTGAGTCCGTGGGACTCCAGGAAGGCCACTAAACTTGGAGAAGATGAACCCAAAGCTCCAAAGTGGCAGTGAAAATAATAAAGAAGCTCTGCTAGAAAGAGATTCAGAAAAGTGCTCCTACCTTGAGGCCAGTGTGTCACAAGGTGATCCTTTTCTCTTATGTGAGTCTGGGTTAGCAGGATCAGATGAACTGTCCCCAAGGCCACTCATTTTGAAAACTTCACACCTAAAAAAGAAGGACAAGAGTAAGAAATCTACCTAACAACCTTTTCAACCAAATCGGGGACAGGGACTTCCCTTCTTCACATTCCTAAATATAGCTAAAATTTCTAAACATTATGGTCTGTCAATAAAAAGAGGATTGTAATTGTAATAAAACATCAGCATCTATATAAAACCGTAAGGGTCATCAACTATTCACTGTTCCTATACTTCTGTTTCCTAAACATGTAAAATAAAATAATTCCTGTATGAAATTACTGTGATCAACTCAGATGAAAATAGTTAGATTAAAAAAGAGATTTTTGTTTTTACAAAGAGAAAGAAATTTCATGTATAAATGTAAAGACTGATATACAACTAGACTCACAGAAATTAGTTTTGGATTTTTTTTATTTTTTGAGGCAGGGTTTTCCTTTGTAGCCCAGGCTGGCCTTGAACTCGCAGCAATCCTCCTGTCTCAGCCTCTCAAGTGCTGGGATTCCAGGCATGCACCACCAGGCCAGGCTTCTTTTTGGATTTTTGCTCAGACCCTACTTTGCAGAAGGACGTGAAATAATGTTACCTACAAGGCTTAGTACTTTATATTGATATAAATTAAATAACACATCTATGATTACAGCGATCTAGATTTGGAATTTGAATTGCGCTTTCCACTTTTGAGTTCCATGCTCCTAACTTTGTGTTTATGTAGTCAGGCTACAAAGATCAAATGTTCAGTCTATGTTAGGACCCTGGGATAGATGCCAGAGAACACAGTCATTCCCCTTGCATGGCAGCCAGGTCTCTCACCTGTTGTGCCAGTGAGTGACTGCACTTAATGAGCCTGAGTTGTCCCTCCTCGGCCACTGCTCTCTGTAATCCCTAATGAAGCTCAGAGCCCATCCCTGGCCTTGCAGTCATCATTACCTTTTGGATTTTATTAGTGCCAAACAACACACCCTACATTCTCTTACTCCATCTAGACTCATAAAAGAAAGGCAAACTTTTGTTAAAAGAGAACCACAGCATGGTATGTTAGATGTTATGCTGGGAATGTGAATTGTAACGAATGTTGAAGACTTTGAATATCTATCACATGGCTTTAGTTATCATAATTGAGTAAATCCTTTCTGTAACTCTAAAACTCACTGTTTCAGGCCCTTCTCTGAAGACCAAAGACTGTCATATCCTTCTCACTGTACAAATGTCCCCCAAATTTTAGTCATGAAACTATGTCATGTAAATAAAAAGGCACATTTCTAATTTTTCCATTTTAGAAGTTACTTATAAGTTTCCAATACCTAAGACTGCGATCTTGCAATTATTTTTTATTCCTCTTTTTCTTTTTTCTTTTTTTTGGTACCAGGGATTGAACTCGGGTCCTTGCACTTGCGCAGCAGGCATCAAAACCACTGAGCTAAATCCCTGGCCCCTCCTCTTTTTATTTTACTTCTCACTTCTAATTGGTATCCCTGTCCTACCAATTCTTCTCTAACAAGGTATTTTAAATTTTCACTCTTCAGTCTCTGGTAGTTATGATCCTAGTTTGGAACCAAACATTCTAGATTAGTGCAAGATCCTTTCATCTTGCTTCTCAATTCTAGCCATTCTCACCTCTAATCTATCCTATAAACATCACCAAAACACTCATTCTAGCCTCTTCTCACATGACTCCCACACAAGCAAACACTAGGATTTGTCGATTATTATTTCCTAAATACATTTCCTCACATTCTCCTTTACCAAGATGATGAGTTAGATTCTCATCATCTCTTGTTAGACTACTAAAATAGTTTCCCAAATGGTTTCCCTGTTTCCGGTCTTGTTTCTCTTACATCCATCTATCACCAGAATAGGCTACCAAATATATATCTGATCATGTCATCCTTCACTAAATGCTCTTTACCCCCAAGGACATCTAACCTCCTTAACATAATATACAGAGTTTGCATCAGCTCTCACTTAATGTGAGAAACACGAAACAGGTGAGTTTGTGGCTAGACTGGGGAACGAGAGGGTAATGGATGACATCAGCAGGATAATGGGAGGCTACAGCAAGTAAGGCCTTAAAAAAGATGTGCACAGGTGCCGGGGATTTAGCTCAGTGGTTCCGTCGCCTGCCTGGCAAGCGCAAGGTCCTGAGTTTGATCCCCGGTACCAAAAAAAAAAAAAGATGTGCACAGTGGTATATACCTGCTCCCAGAACTCTGGGAGGCTGAGGAAGGAGGATGGTAAGTTTGAGTCCAGTCTGGGCAACTTAACAAGATCCTGTCTCAAAATATAAAGTAAAAAGTGCTGGGGATGTAGCTCAGTGAGAAGGCCCTTGATTCAATTCCCAGTACCAGGGGAAAAAAAAAAGCGAAGAGAACTGACTAAGGTCTTGTTAGCATACATTCTGAAATCCAAACACAAAATACGAATAATCAGCTAAGTGTTGTATTACCGTAATAGTAAACAGATGCTTTCTTTTTCATGAAGATTAACAGAAATATAAATAAGGTTAACCAAATATCACAAAATTTAAGGTATCACTTAACTTTATTTTCACATATAAAACATAAATTTTTAGTTAATATAAATTGGAATTATGCCACAAATAATGAAGTATCAACTCTAAACTTCTGCACAAAAGTAGAAAGAACAGAGTGAAGGAAACAATAAACAAAAAGATAAAAGACATGACTTCAGAGTTTGCCCAAATTCAAAAGAAAAGAGTTTGCTAACTTCTATTTCATGCCCAGGTGCCACTTCTTGTGAAGTTGCCCATCTTTTCTGCCTCCAATAAAATTATGTTATACTCATCTGGAAGTCTATTCATTCTTAAAAATATTCCTGGGTATATATTTCTTATTACATTGTGCTGTAAGTTGTAATTCCTCTCTTTGTTTCCTTTTCTAGATTGTAAACTCAGAGGACATTATTAAATCTTTTCATTATATATCTAATAACATAATGCCTGAGATACAGAAGCTAAATAAGCACGTGATGAATTAAAGGTAATTAAGCTATCTTTAAGCTACATTCTTAGTCTCTCTACCTATCTGTCTCTCTCTATTTTTGAGTGTTTTCTTTTTTTGGTACCAGGGATCGAACTCGGGTCCTTGCGCTTGCAAGGCTGGCAGCAGAACCACTGAGCTAAATCCCTGGCCCTCTCTCTAGTTTTGAGACAGGGTCTCACTACATAATTCAGGCTGATCTTGAACTCATTATGTAGTTCCAACTGGCCTCCAACTCTCTGTGATCCTCCTGTCTCAGCCTCTCCAAGTGCTGGGATTACAGGCCAGGCATGCATTACCACACCCGGCTTCTTTCTTATTTAATTTTGAGACAGGGTCTTGGTAAATTATTAAGTTGCCCAAGTGGGGCTTGAACTTCTGATCCTCCTGCTTCACCCTCCAAAAGTACTGAGATTACAGGTGTGCACCACCATTCCTGGCTTACATTTAAAATTTTAAGAGCATAATTAAGGTTTTATAGTAAAATTTTCTAGAATCTTTTATAAAGCTTTGAAATTCTTCCCTATAACAGAAATATGAGCTTTCTTTGAAATCTTTATTCTCCTACTTTCCACAGAAATAAAACAAAAACTATCTTCTTAGTCTAGAAATTGAAGAATATCCCTTCTAATTCTGAAAAAGTAGAGATCTATTTTAGAGAAACAACCTGAAATATTTCACAGTACTATAGAGTCACAAAGCCAGGTTCCAGTTATATAACCAAAATAATCCAATCTCACAGATTTGATAATTTTGAGCAACAAATAAACTTGGATTTAAAATAAGATTCCCATGCTATGCTACCCAAGGATTATTAGCTGAAGTTTCACATCTGCTAAATTTATCTGAGATTCTGGGGCAAAGGAAACAGCAGACATTATTCAAGTGCAGCCAGACAGGCAGGTCTACCAAAACAAGCCAGGAGTCAAAGAGCTATGGAGAGTCACCAACAATTTGCTGATGGTATGAGTCCTCCATTAACTGCTTTCTATTTACAAAACATAATCAACAAATAGTGCAATGCAAAAACCTCTTATGAGGCCAAACTATTATAGCTGTTGTATTTATGTGCAATGGCTTTATATTTAGCAGTTAGGGTATTTAAAAAGGGGTTATTAACAAAAGAAATGTTGGCTTCAGGAAACTAATTTGCGTATCACCTTTTAAAAGAGGTAAAGTTCCTAAGTACCCTGTTGATTTAAAGAGTTGCTAAATTAGACCCAATCTGATGCAATCTCTAGTAGTTTTAGGAACTAGAAACTACATCTATCTCTGCTTCAATGTACCAGACTAAACCAAATAGGTGGAGGCTGAAGAAACAGGACAGTGCTTTTTAATTCAGTTGAGTTAAAAAGTTCTACATAATATTATAGATAGATGAGCTAGATAAAAATATTATAGGCAGGAAGATAGGGCTAAGTCTTCGAGAGGGCCAGGACAAAGGTGAAACAAACCACAGTTCCACATCAGCTAAAAACCAGGCCTCAAGATGACCAGACCCACATACTTCTTCAAAGAACTGGGCTTAGTAAAGTATAGATAGGCATTGACCACCCTGGGGGTGACCAGAGACCTCTGGACCCACTGCCTTCTAGGAAAACACTTGTTCTTTCCATCCATGCTTGCTACATGACTCGCTTCCCAGTTAGCGCTCCATTACTTAAGTGACTGTACTTGTAACCTTATCGGATGTTCATGGCTGTGGCCCACATTGTACCCACATGGGCTTCACCCTGTAAAACTTCTCTGTAAAGTGGGGTCCTGGGCTACCCACTCGGGAACCCTCCTGCCCCTCAGGAGCTTTCCTATCAATAAATATTGGCCTACTTTTAACCTCTGTTGTTCCCAGGACTCATTCTTCAATTTCTAGAGAACAAAAACTCAGTGTATGGTACAGTTAACAGGCTGGGAGATATAATATTTCATATTTCCCATGACAATAAGACATGTTATTCATCTCTCAAATTTAGCTGAAAATTGTTACTGAAAAATCAGTACCAATTAGTTAGTAAGCAACTCTAATAATACACTTAAAAATCCTTAGTAGACCAGTAACACAGAGATGCACGTATATGAGAGACTCAGTGCTACATCTCCCAAACTGATGGGCTGCATGAAGAAGAAAAGCCATAATAAATAGAGAGCTACTGTACTTTCCACAAAAAAATGTTTCTCAAACTGGGTCCTCAGATACCTAGGTCCTGTCCAGGAAGTTTACAATCTATCTTTTTATTTCAATGATAATTGAACTCTTTCTCATATGCTAAGAAAAGATGAGAACTTTAGGATATTTGTTGCCCATTTCATGGATGAATAAAACAGTTGTTTGGTGATACTGTACTTTGTTTATTCATTCGTCAGTTCATGAACATTTAAGTTGTTTCCACTTCCTGGGTGTTCCCAATAATATTGTTACGAACACTGACACACACGTTTTTGTGTGAACATGTTTTCAATTCTTTTGGGTATATACCTGGGGCAGTAATCCGAACTTTTCAGAATTTTCAGTAATAACAAACAGCCTACTGCAGCATGTGTGCCATAGGTTCACCACCACTGACCTAGGATGAGAACTGCTAGATTATGTGGTGACTCTAATATTTTGAGAACTGTCAAAGTGTTTTCCACAGTGGCAACATAACCTTACATTTTCACCAATAATACATGAGCATTCCACTTTTCCACATCCTTGACAAAAGTTATTTTCCCCCTTTGTAAAAAATTATAATCATCCTAGTGAGTGTGAAATGGTACCTGATACAGTGTTTACATTTCCTTAATTACCAACGGCACTGATCACCCTTTCACATATTTACTGGCCATGTGTATATCTCCTTTGGAGATATGTCTATTCAAGTCCTTTGTTTTTTGAAAAAAATAAGTTTTATTGTATATATTAAGGTATCCAATATGGCATTATAAATCCATATATGTACAGATACACATATATACACAGTTTAATATATGTATGTATGTATGTGTATATATATATATATATCATTATATGAAGCAAACTAACATTTCCATTATCTCACACAGTTACCCATTTTCCCACTGTGGCAACAGCAGCTAGCATCTACTCTTGTAACTACTCTTTCATTTGTTCTCTATCTTTGTGCAGTATTTGTAATTTTTTACTTTCAGATTCTATATACAAGTAGATCATGCCATACTTTTCTCTCTGTGTCTAGGTTATCTCACTTAGGATAATGTGCTCTAGGACCATCCATGTTATGGCAAATGGCAAGATCTCCTTTTAAGGCGGAAGTATATGTGACTATAAATCCATTTACTCATAAACCTTACTAACTCATTCATTCATAAAATGTGAGGAAGGCAGTATTTTAGAGTGAGGAAACCTGCAGCAAGCAGAGGTTGCTAAATTTGCCCAACATCCTGTGACAGAGGGAGAAATCAATCTTAGGTACTTTGTTTTCATAATCTGGATACATTTTATTTTAATTTTTTTTAATTAAAAAAATTTTTTTGGTACCAGGGATCAAACTTGGGACCTTGTGGTTTCGAAGCAGGCAGCAGAACCACTGATCTAAATCCCTGGCTCATCTGGATACATTTTAAGTTACGTAACTAACCCACAGTCACATAACTATTATGTAAAAACCTAGCAATACAGTCTTAGGTTTTTGCTTTTGCCTCCTCATCAAAATGATTTTCCTATTGACCCAAGAGAAAGTCTTCTACAAAATCAGACATTCAGTTATACATCTGAAAATATGGGAGTTGCTTACAAAGTTCTCAAAGACACAAATAGAGAATCTTTTCAATTTTTTCTCCAAAATCATACGGAAATAAAGCTGATTGTATACCTAAGTCTGACTTTCCTTCTATGGTGCATTATAATATAAAATCAATTATTCTCTGTAAGATATATTTCACCTAAAAATGTAAATGCACTGTTCTATCAAAAGGAAAAGTTCTGTCTTTTTTCCCCCCTGCCTTTCTAAATGCTTATTTTTGCTCTATATTTTGGATTCTAAAGTTACTTACACACATTTGTGAGTGTGTGTACTGCCTAATCAAAAACACTCAAATTATCTTTATGAATCTTTCTAGAATTTTGGAGCCCTGTCATGTTTCATGTTTCAACAAACTGTCCTGAAAATAATCTTTTTTTTTTTTTTTTTTTTGTACCGGGGATCAAACTCAGGTCCTTGTGCTTGGGAAGCAAGCAGTGGAACCGCTGAGCTAAATCCCTGGCCCCTGAAAATAATCTTTATATGCTTTCCTTCACCACATAAACTCTCAGTAACAAAGCCATGGATCTTCAAAGTCACATATCATAATCTCTTTAGAAAAAAAAGGTAGAAACAGATAAGGACTGAGTGAAGGGCCACTGAACCAAACAACTGCCTTGTACGTTCCACCATGTCATTTTAATGGAAGGCACTATTATAAAAGACAAAGCCGATAAACTCTTCCAGGTTACCAAAGACCAAACAGATGTGACAACTGTACAACACGTGATCCTAGATCAGACAACTGGTAAACCTTTAATATGGACTAGACATCATGTAACAGTAGTAAAAATGTTGCTTCGTGAATTTGACTTTATTGTGGTTACGTAGGCAATATTGAATATTTTGGAGTGACAGATCATGATTGTCTATAACTTACTTTCAAATAGTTCATCATCATCATAATGGTGGGGGAGGAAGAGAATTAGTACTAAACACAGATAAAGCAAATGTAACAAAACATTTACAAGGGGTAAAACTGGACAATGGACATACTGTGCTGAGTGTACCAACTCTGTAACTATTTGGTAAGTCTGGTATTGTTTTTAATAAAGCTCTCTCGATAATACTGCTTCCACTTCCCAAACTCATTGTTTATTGTTAACACAGGCATTGCTTGTTAGTTGGCTAACATCTGCTGCCTGTCACTGCCATGATTATTGATCCCCACCCTCCAAGTTGACAGCTTTCACTCTTCAGAGTCACTGTCATGTCTTTCTTCAACAATTGAGTGTGCAGCCAGGGCAAGGGATGAAGGGGAATTATTGGTGCTATTACTGTTCTGCTTCTTAATCCTCGCAGTGATCGCACAAATGTGTTCAGTACATAACTCAAAAGTTCTATGCTTACCTGGGCATGGTAGTGCACTCCTATGATTCTAGCTACTTGGGTGGCTGAGGCAGGATGATCGTAAGTTTGAGGCCAGCTGGCATAGTTTAAAAAGACCTTGTCTCAAAATAAAAAAATTTAAAGGGCTGGGGATGTAGTTCAGTGGTAGAGCACTTGCTTACCAGTTCAAGGCCCTGGATTCAATCCTTAGTACTGTAAGGTTGGGGGTATGCTTAAAGTTTGTGATTTTTATCTGAATGTTATAATTCAAAGTCTGTTAATTTAAAAATGTTCTGGAAGTCTTCCCCTTACTGATTTACAGTTTATGATTACTCTTCAACTCTTCATCTATAGTCTTGGCTTGGCACACATTCTTTCGTTATCCATAGGCTGCTATTGCTGTCATCCTATTTGTGGATACATTGGTTTTATTCCTAGTTAGTTCATGATCTCTAAGAAAACAGCAACAATGTAAAATTGCCCAAATGGACACTACACCCATTGAGAATTAATGATTGGATATATGTTAGGCATACATGAACTAAATCTTGGGATGGTTTAGTGTAGTTTTCTGCTGTCATTTTCAATGCAGTAAGGACTTCAGAGTCTTACTATGAGATGTAAGATCTGAACTCTACACTGGTTTCAATTTCCAATTTTTCTAACATGTTCATTTAGGAATGCAAAAGTACTTGTTTTATAATAACCTTGAAGCTTTCCAGACCAAACACATATTTTCATAAAAAATAATACCCAATAGATGATCATTTTCCCTCTGTATTTTTGCAGAGACAAAGCTATTTAAAAACAGCTATAATTCCTACCTGGGAGACTTTTTTGCACATAATGGGTTCCCAAAACAGATACGGTCAAATCTAGTGCTCCAGGTTGTGGCTTCCAGGGAATGGGGTAATGATATTTTCCAGAGGTGGCTCTAGTCTCTTCACTCTCTCCTCATTTAAGGCCAATTATGCAAACAACTAAAAACAATCAAGAAGAAAAAATAAAAACAGAAAGGAGGTTAGATTTTCATTTTATTCTCCAAGAAATGATAAAGGCCAGAAATGCTAGGAAAGGAAAGAAAATGCAATTTTTAAGGCCAAATAGAAAAATATTTCCAAAACACAACAAAGATCTGACTTTACAGATGAAGTCCTTGATGATGATTCCTATTTGAGACTACTTGCTGCTTAAGTAACACATAATTATATTTTTTGTCCTTCATTTTTTGCCTTTATATGTCTTTTAAAGATTGTTTTTGGCTGTACTTACATATATCGTTTTTATTATCTAAAAATTCTGATTTTTCACATTTTCAGTTATCATTTAATTCTTTAATTTACATAATATTCATCCTACGTATTATATAAAGTTGTAATATTTTAAAGTTATTTAATATTTTACCTTAAGATTTTTATTTAAAAAGTTCACACATTTTTATATCCAAATAAAGTTAGTTGAGCTCTAGTTCCAGTAATGATGGACTCTTTTGTATTGGACTAACTGGAGCACAGATAATAATTATAAATTCTGGACAAAACATAAAAAACCGAGGACATTGGGAAGTGACCAAAGCAGGCACAAACTGTAGGGAATCTGAGCATTACGAGAAAGAAGACATGCTGGATTGAGGTAAATGCTCATGAGACTTTCCCCTAAGAGAACTGTTCCCTCTACTCTAAGTGCTGGTGGCTGGAAGGAAAGCAGAAAACCATGGTCTATTTGGCTTTAGGCATGAGCAACTCTACCTTAGGGCTAACAGAAAGCTGGAAATTGTCCGACACAATTATTTACACTATAGATATTACCTGTTAGTTTTTTAATGCACTTATTTTTTTGTATGTCTTTGTTTATAATTCTGTGACATTTTAGGCACATGTAGCAATTCATACACCGCCATGTGTCACACAACATTTTGAAAAATGGAGTAGTGAGTGCCAGCAACTCAGCTTCTCCGGGACAAAGTGTCTAGAGTTGGGAAAACCATAGCTCGGAGAGGAACCGAAGCGAGCGGAGGTACCCAGGAACCACGCGGGAACTGACAGAGGAGAAGAAAATAGGTCTAAGTGATACTGAAGAAACAGATCACACCGCGGAGGGGACAGGCTGAGTGACACTAACGCGGGACACCGAGAACTGCAACGGGAGGGAAAGCATCACCTGCAGTAGGAAGCAGCCAGGAAAACGTGGGACACTGCTTCCAGGGAACAGCTGGTGAGTGACTTCTGTACGAGCGGCCCAGCTACAACCCGGGGGCAAGAGCTGCGGGACCCTACTGTTTGAACCTGGGTCCCAGAGCAGCGCCTTGGCTGCTTCGCTGCCAGGTTCCCAGAGCGGAGGAGGGAAGGTCGGTGCCGCGGAGAGGCAGGGGATGGGGAAAACACACCTGGCTCCCGCGTCAGAGGCCAGGTTCAGCGCGAGTACCCTGGATTGGAGCTCACACTGGTGCCCCGTTCTCACCGTAAGCAGCCCAAAGAAGCCGAAAAGAAAAGAGAACAAGAGAAGACTATTCAGCAGCTACTAGATGACAACAAGAAGACAAATCTAAGGCTAATAAGAGTTCGTGAAAAACTAGAAGACAGCACAGATAGATTCACTAAATGCTTACGGAAATCATGGAAGAACACTTCCCAAATATGAGTTTAAAATACAAGTAAGCAACACTTATAAAACACCAAACAACTATGATGAAGAAAGAAGCTCACCATGACACATCTTTATTAAATTACCGGATATCTAGCCAAAAAACAGAATTTTAGAAGCAGCCAGAGAAAAACAAAAAATCACATATAAAGGTAAGCTAAAATTAGAATCACAGCAGACTTCTCAACACAAACTCTAAAGGCCAGAACAGCTTGGAGTGAAGTATTTTAAGCCCTAAGAGCAAATAATTCCAACCCAGATTAACTTAGATGGAGAAATAAGATATTTCTATAAAAAAGACCAGCTCAGAAGATTTATGAGCATGAAACCAGCTCTAGAGAAAATACTTAAAAATGTTCTCAACAGAAACAACGGATCAGACACAGCTAAACACAGAGGAAACTAGTGAGGTCAATGGATAAACAGCAACAAAAACCAGAAGAAAAACAAGGTGCACACCAGCAGATAAAGAAGGGAATGGCAGTTAATGACCAACATATCTCAGTAATACCTCTCAATGTCAATGACCTCAATTCTAAGACAGACTGGCAGACTGGATAAAAAAAAACAACCAGAATCCAACAATCTGCTATATCCAAGAAACTGATCTAATCCCAAATGATATCCACAGACTAAAAATTAAAGGATGGAAAACAACATTTCACACATCAGGACCCAGAAAACAAGCAGAGATAGCAATTCTAATATGAGACATGGTAAACTTCAAGATAAAACTAATTAGAAGAAGATCAGTCTGTAGGATTCAGAACCCATTTGGACACAGCTTATATATCCCTGCTCTTGGGGTAGACATAAGGACACTGGGATATTGGTAGGGAAGTAAAGGCCCTATCTCTGGTGCTACAGAGAGACAATGACTCAAGGAAGTTGGGCTAAATTTGACAAAAACCAACAAAAAAGACAATTAAAAGAACCACAGGTGCTAACTTGTATTACAAATCAGACCAGCCAAATTTATTAATATTTTTTGGGGGGAATTATAATTACTTTATTGGAGAGGTGTGCACACTAATTGAGACACTATTTATACAAGGGAAAATTGGCCCATTTTAGGGTGAAACTACAGCAAAGGTCTTAGGATATAGTCTCAGCCCTCCCACTCCTCCTCTTCCTCTCTCTACCAGGGCTGTCACTCTTCACAGCACTCGGGGTGGGGGTGGGGCGCATGGGGCTTGAAGGCAAAGCAGGAGAGGGCAGGGTGGCATATTCCAGAGACCTGTGTTTCTTCTTAAAAAACACTCATTTGAAATTTTATCAGGAAGTTATACACTTAAAAAATTCCATTACTTTGTTCTAATTATACAAGAGCCTTACCACTAAAACATTCCCCTAATCATCTAAAAGACCACCACTTAATAGTACATCAGATGTAAAAATTTCAGATTTCCCTCATGGGTATGCAGTTAAAACATTCAAATTTGCAAAAGAGAAGCAAAGTGGAATGAAGACATTCACAGCAAACTATTTCATATCCGTAAGTTATCATTTACACATTGAATACGTACAGCATTAAGACCAAATGTACAGGATTTCCACAATTATATACAGTAGTCAACACAGTGCACAATTCAAATCTATCTTACAATCAAGTGTACACAAGTTAATATATGGCTTTATAAATTACTAACAGTAATTGTGCTAAAGTAATTCATAGGTCCAGAAATAAACACTGGAATGCTGCCTCCACACTAGGCCCTTGTTCAATAAGATGCTATTCATTGTGTTTGCAAATCAGGTGGTGCAGGTAAATGTCTCCCGGTGGTGTCCACCATCAGCCCCCATGTAGCTGAAATTTGGGTTCGAATGATGCCAACATTGGCTCTTGCTATCTCAGATATCTGAAGATAAATCTTTATATCTCCCACACACTTGGATACACAGAGTTATAAACAAATAGAAGAAGGACATATTATCAGTGAAATGATGACTACCAGGTATTATCAAAACATGCTTTTCAGATTGGTGCTCAAATTCTGTGGCAATACATCTCCATTTGCATTACTTGTGTCCCTGCTCCTTTCTTGTTTTACTACAATAGATGTACTGTGAAATCTTTCAGGAACTTTCAAGGCATTCTAAATCAAGAGGTCCCAAAAACAATTAAAAAGCTCTTACAGAAATTATATCTAACTGTTCACTCTTCCCTTCCCCTGACCAAACACACCTATCTTAAGTAAAAATAAATAAATACCTTGAACTAAAGTTATGCACCCATGGTTATTTTTTATCCACTTTGCCCTACATGTTGCAGACTCGCTGATCAACTATAGCCTTCAGGAGCCACCACTAAGTACCCCTTGCACCATTCCTTAAACTTCATTGGGTACCAGTGAATATATATTTTTAAAATTCTATTCCTGCTATGGCTTTGTGAATGTATATCTTGTATCAGTAGACTAGTATATACATATACAGCAGTGTATACATATATCATAAATGAATACACTGAGGGGCATGCACAGAAAGTTTTGGTCATATGGTGAATATCCACAAAGGTTTGGAGACCACTGCCTAAATAGGAATGATTTGGGACACCTCCAAACACTTCAAAAAAACTTCTCTAAAATAGAATACACATTACTTGTATATTTTCTATTTGTAAAATGGAAAATCAATGTCACAAACCCTTTTGAGAAACTAGAAGGAAGTTACAAAATCGAAGGAGTAAACATATTGGGGCAAGCACCTCTAAGCTGCTCTCCAAGAGAACACTAGCTCTGGTGGGGCGATCCGGGGCACAAGCACAGAAATGAAAATAAAGATAAACACCACAATGTTTCCTGCACTGGCCATTTTTATATACATAAGCAATCCTTTCCTAACATAGATTGCATTTGTTTTTGATTTGGAAACTTCTTTGATTGCTTTAGTAAGATGCTATCACCTAGAAAACTTCCCATATGCCTGACACATCTCTAACACAGACATACTACATGGTTGCTTGAAGCCCTGGTATTTGTTGCTGTTTTCTTCTTTCCTCCAACTTACTTAAATTCTGACACCCCTAAATGAATGACTCAGTGTCTTCTTTTTCCAACCATCAACTCTGGAGAAACTGTCACCCACATCAGTGTTTGTGTTGCCAGACATTCAGTGCCATGTAGATAACTGGGGAAAAAACACATGTTTACAGTAAGCATGATCTGATCCCATGAGTCTTATTACTGGAGGTAAAATCATTTTGAGAGGAGTAAAACATGTCACCTCTACTGAAGTAGTGATCTCTCAGATATTTGAACACTGTCTTTAGTCTTATTGGTGTAAAAAAAATTAAATATAATTAAAAGTAAAAATACAATCATTGCCATGGTTAATA